AAATCAGGAAAAAGAAAAAACAAAAGAAAGACACACAGGAAAAACAAAATAATATGTACACTTACCTGGACATTTACTTCCGACGCACAGTTCACGTCATTCACAATGGGGCTGCCACATGTGACGAGTGTCCGACACGTGTATGTCATCATCCACATATCCTCTCCCGAATGCGCCAGCCGCAATCTCGTCTCGCTCTCTTGCTTTCAGCAAGCCGTTATTCCATGATTTGAAAGTCGGTAGTGATCTCGCTACGGTTCTAATCGATAACACGACCTTATCGACATAAAACAGCTGCACAAAAAAAAACACAATAAATACAAATAAATAACTGAATAAATAAAAAAATAGAAAATACTAAAGTACGCAAAGTATACGTCATCAAGGATCTAATGCACATACCGTCAAAAATAGCAACGGTCCGGTGAAATTCTTGCGCTTCCGACTAGCATTCCATGATTTTTTAGCACCCACCAGACACCGAATCAGGTACGCACACCAATTCATCTTGTTCACGTTCGACAAATCGTCGAGCAAGTGAACTGTGCGTAAATTCGCAACTCCTTTCTGAGAGCTCTCGAACAAACACGTAATCATGAGAACCACAAAATGACGTTTGAACCAGTCGTCGCTTCTATCACATGTCTGAATCATCTCCAACACCTTTGTAGCCGTTATTTTGGTGGCAACACTGACATTATAAATATCGGCCCATTCTTTCAACGCTCCTGAATCTGTCTTTTTCTTTCGATTCGCGACCTCAATAGTTCCACGGGGCAGCCCCATCACACTATACACATCATCTTCCTTCACATGGATTTTTCCTCCATCATATAATTGTAGTTTCCGGTCCATATGGTTGAAGTTATCAATCAGCCAATATCCCATTTTCGCCGGGGTTGCTGTTATCTTCAAATCGAGCAAGCATCCAAATCCCATATCACGGACTGCACGTCTCTGGTCCTCAGACAAACCGGACACCGCCTTCACGAATATCGCTGGGGATGTCCTCGTGTGGATGGTCGGGAGTGCATCATCGGTTGCTGCCCGGGTATCTTCCAATGAGTGCGTACCACCTGTTTTGTTAACAATCCGTTGCACTCTTGCATTACCTGTAAGTTATATAAACCTTTTTTTTACAATCTAGTGTTGTGTAATGAAAACAAATATAGTGCTCATGAGACGTAGAACTTTATACCGTCTCTCATTGTCGTTTCTTGACAATGTTCTGTTTGAGTTTGATTGGCGTCCTCGCTTTCTGGATGTCTGGCCATTTTTGCACGTTTCACATGTCCCTCTGCCCAATTCGGTGCAACAACCTTACGCTTGCGTGCTACGATTTATCAAACATTATACGAGTATATTATGTACAGTTGGTGCTAGCAGGTATTTAAAATTTTTTAAACTTTCAATGCTCGTGTATATTAACATAAGACACGTATAGAAAACATATATAAAATAACACAACACTATTAGAAAATTAACACAATGACCTTTATCACCCGATTTTCCAATTGGTTGTTCATTTGAATTGTTGTTGTTACCTGCACGATACATATATTAGAATAATTAATTACGCCATAAGCAATAACCAATCTACAGTCTGCCAACTAAAATGGGACATTCATAGATAAGAAAACATATAAACAAGAAAGAATTAATATATTAATGCCAAAGATTAAAGTGACGCAGGTGAAAGTGACACACAAGTAAATTGAATCCTGGTCAGTCGTGTAGATGTAAATAGCTACATATTGTATTCACATGACATTTAGTCATATATGTATTTCATAAATAGTTACCTTGTTGTGGGTTACTGGACCGTGAGTTCGTAGCGGTTTGTTGTACTGAAGGGAGTTTTGTGCTACGTCGAGTGGCAGGCCGGTTTGGTGTAATATCTAATTTGGGCACATCATCGACAGGATGGTCGTTATCAGGTCGGTCGCTAACACGTTCCGGTGCATCGGGAGTTCTCTCCGGCACTGATTATGTACAACACACAATGGTCGAGAATTCACGTATAAAAGCAAAGAACACTAATAAACCGATAGTATTCAAGTAAAATAAACTGACTAAAAGCTGACAAGACCAGCTTAATCAAATATTACAAATAGTACATCATGAATTCAAATAAAAGATGCTTAATCATACTGATAATATATATATTCACTACAAAATGTAAATTGCACCAAACTAAACACAACATACAACACATCATAGGATTTACCTCTGTCATCATCGCGTGGACCTCCGTCGTCGTGATGTTCAGGTATAATGTCGAGCTTCTTGCGGGTAGTACCTGTACATAAATTCAAATCAGAACATAATACCCACACTTATTGGAACTACTGAAACAAATCAAGATGTAATATGAAAGAAAAAAAAAAACCGTGCATTCTTTTGTGCGAAAGTGGCAAGAAAATTGTCAGAAAACTATGAACAATTTCAACGTAGGAAAAAGGTAGGTGGAAATAAAAAGAAACACAAATTTGTAAAGCTAGATAAAAAGAAATAAAATGAGAAGCACGATTGAACCCTAAATCTCGCAACAAAAGATAAAAAACACTCGATCCAAGAAGACACACACAAATACAGCCTGTAAAGAACTAAAACCATAGCTTAACAAAACAACAGAATGTTAATTAAAGAGAAAACCCACAATGAAACAAATAGCAGAGGAGTTACCAGAGCAGGATTCAACTTCATGAACAACCCAAAAACTAAACATACATAAAAAAACACATACTAATTACAATAACATTATCATTATCTACCAGAAACGGAGTAACCGATTTTTTTTTCATCTGAATACGTTAAGAACTATAACAGGTTGTACGAAATTGACGAACAGATCATTGGATTCTGAGAACATACACATATTCTGAGATTATCTCTAAAAAACTTACCTCGTTTGCTCGTTTGAGTAGAGTTCCCCATATTCTGTAATTGACGAAGAAATTACTCCAAATTTGTACAAAATCGAACTATTAATCGCCTCAAACAGTAAAATATGGATTTTGCACAACCGTTACTCACAATACTGAATTCGGTGAAAGCTTGAGCTCAATCGTCCATGGATTGTTGTGAAACCGCCACAATTACCCACAGATCGCCTCTGTCTATCTATTAGATGCAATTAATGTGTCTGAATGAACCATCCTTTACCCTATGCTATTGATAATAAAGACTATAATACCCTCCAATGAAGATATTTGCCCATAAAAAGTTGTTATATTTACGGCAGTGCCACCGCGAGTCAAACAGACTTTATGAATGTTGACTGCATCTCAACCCTTGATTTAATAGATCAAATGTTGTAAATTCATTCTTATTTCTTTCACTAGAAACCATTCTCATATGATCCTTTACCTACATATATATATATATGTATATATATATATATATATTGATGTAAAATATATAAACCGAGCTTTTACTAAAAAAATTGAGAGAAAGAGAGATGAGAGAAAGAGAGAAGAGAGGAAATTTTGGT